GGGAACAAAATTCTTTGACTGGCTCTCAACGTGAACTCTCTCTTCCGATATTAGGCGTGAAATCCTTGTTCTCAAATAAGAAAAATATTTTAATGGGAGAAAAGGAAATTTTTGTGGATCCAAGGCTCAAGCCCATTAGTAATTAATTGACCCACTTGATATTAGCCATTGGATTGTGCTTAGATTCCAAGAAACAATCTACACCATTGGATTTCCTATATGCTCTTTCTTGACCTACAAGAATTTAAGTGCATCCATTAATGTAGATTATATCCAAATATAATCAAAAATTAAATATCAGATATGCACAAAAATTAGGCAAGAAAGTGCAAAACTTTCTAAAAATAATCTTTCTAAAAATATGAGACTTGTTTTCAAAGAAATAGGAAAAATTAATTCCAAGTCAAAATAGGAAATCACAAAATATCTATATTTTAATCCAAAATCTCAATTTTTATGCAAAATCCAAAAATCAACCAATTAATCTAATTATGCATAAAAATCTAATTAAGCTCAAAATTATCATTTAAATCCTGAATTAATGTGGGATAAAATATATAAAAATTGAGCTTTATCACTTATCAACAAAGAAAATGAAAAGAAATGAATACCTAATTTTCCTTTCTACATGTTCATGATTTTCAAGATTGATTTTTATTTGGGGGGGCTAATTTTGGCTTTCTTGGTACATGCATGAAAAATGAAGTAATATTCCTCTTGTCCTATAGTATTTTCCTCCTTCACCTCATTAAATTTATTATATGAAACTTACCAAATGTTAAAGCGTTGACAATATTTAAGATTTTTCTTGTTTCTAATAAAACATTTGCAATCACTCTATAAATAAAATTAGAGGAATACTCTTTTCAAAACAAGGAAAAATTACTCATAAATTTTGAGTAAAAAAATAAATAGAGAGATACTAATAAATTTTTTTATAAGTTAACTTGTTAAATAACACAATTTGATATAAAATATGAAAGTTTCACTGATAAAAATAAATCGTTAAATTTGATTAGTAAATATAATTTTTTAATATTCCTTTCTTGTATCAAATACTTTCATCTAGATACTAGGGGTGATTTTTTACTCAAAGCGACGAGAAAGATGAGAAATTTAACTTCTGGGCGCTGGGACGTTCTAGCAGTAAACTAGATGAAAGGAGAAACGAGGATTCCATCACCACCGCGCAAGACTGACGAAAGCTAATCCAGTGAAATCAAAAATTAGTGCCAATCACAAAGAAACATGTGTCCCAGCAAGAAAAGGACATGTGTCCCAGAAAGAAAAGCGGAAAGATATTGGTGCCCCCCATATCCCTTGATTCTCTGTTTCTTTAACAAAAGACTCAAAAGTGTGCTCTTCTCCGAATGGAAGACAGCAAAGGAAGAGTATGTGTTACTGGTGGTACTGGCTTCATAGGTTCTTGGATCATTAAAAGACTTCTTGAAGATGGCTACTCAGTTAGTACTACCGTTAGATCCTACCCAGGTTTCAATGATTGTCCATTTATTTGAAGCAAACATATAAACTGTCAATTCACTGTCAATTCACTGTCCATAACTGTTTTTCCCTGCTGCGTTTCTCTTGTTCATATGCAAAACCTTTGTATCTTTCTTTGTTTATCTGAATTCAGCAATATTTACAGATTCAGCTAGCTAGTATCATTTTCCTCTTTCGGAAGATGAGATCTTATGATTTTGTTTCCCATTGCAGAACACAAGAAAGATGTGAGCTTCCTCACAAATTTGCCAGGAGCATCTCAGAGGCTGCGAATTCTGAACGCAGACCTAAGCGAGCCAGAAAGTTTCAAGGAAGCCATTGAAGGGTGCAATGGAGTGTTCCATGTGGCTACTCCAGTGGATTTTGAAGAAAAGGAACCTGAAGAGATTGTGACCAAAAGATCCATTGATGGAGCATTAGGTATTCTGAAAGCTTGCCTTACTTCAAAGACTGTGAAGAGGGTTGTTTACACTTCCAGTGCCGCTGCTGTTTCTGCAACTGGCAAAGAAGATGAAGTGATGGACGAGAGCTCATGGAGTGACGTGAATTTACTTAGAACTTCGAAAATATTTGGATGGTCTTATGCAGTTTCTAAGACATTGACAGAGAAAGCAGTGCTTGAATTTGGAGAACAAAATGGATTAGATGTTGTCACTTTGATTCCCACTTTTGTTGTTGGACCCTTCATTTGTCCTAAGCTACCTGGCTCTGTTGGTTCAACACTCTATTTTTTACTTGGTACAATGCTTCAGCTTGGTTCTGAACATTTATTTATAATCTTATTTGGTTTATGCAGATACTTTAGTTCTGTATGTCATTTAAATTCTGATGCAGGTAAGAATGACCCACATAGTTATCAGCAAACACCTATGGTTCATGTTGACGACGTGGCAAGAACACACATATTCCTGCTTGAACATCCCAATCCAAAAGGGAGATATAATTGTTCTAAATGTTTTGCAACCATTGAAAAAGTGACTGAAATAGTGTCTGCTAAATACCCAGAATTTAAGATACCAACCCCAGAGTAAGAGTTCTCTTGTCCTTGTTCTTCTTCTTTGTGCTGATGTGCAAATTTGATTCAAGTAAATCACCTGACTTCTCTTATATTCATTGTAGTTCCTTGAAACAAAGCACTGGCTTGAAATTTCCAGATCTGTCATCGAAGAAGCTCATAGATGCTGGATTTGAGTACAAGTATGGACTTGAGGAAATGTTGTTGGATGCAATTGAATGCTGCAAAGAAAAGGGTTATTTGTAGCTATATATAATAGTGTCATGTCAAATTATCCTGTCAAAAATATGTAAATGGCCTTAAAGTCTAATGATACGAATGCTCCTTGTAAGTAAGAAGTCACTGGTTAAATCCCAATATGTAAACTTGACCTATTATTGTCTAGACTTGTAATTCACCAAACATATATGTAATAATATGGTGATGAGTATGTAATTGTCGTTTTGGCAAATATATGTGTGCGATTGTAAATTGAATTGCATTACAAATTTTGGTTCAGCATATCTCTTTTTAACATTATGACCATACATGTGTGTGTGTGTGTGTGTGAAATGTTGTTTCAACAGAATGCGGGACATGATTTGTATTGGTGATAGGCTTGCCCTGAAGGTGTTATTTGTGAGAAGCGAAGTTTGTTAGTGGAGGCTTTGAGTTTATATTGGTAAGTTCATATACCAAGGAAAAAAGATCTTTTGGTTTAGCCCCTGCTTTGTACATATGCTTTTAACAACAAATGATTAGTATAAAGATAATAATGATATGGGGTTATTACTATTTTTCTGAACCAAAAAGAAGTTATGTATCACTGCTTTAATTAATTTTTATTTGAACTTGTGAATAGATTTGGGAGAGAAATAGATATGTGAAGGAAGGAGATAAACTGATATATATATTGATTAAACTGTTGATACTCACATGATTGATATCGCTTGGTTGTGATGAGTGAAAGTGAGTGTTTTTTATGCACGACTCAATAACCCAGACTAGATTGACTATCATCCTACTAACTGAAAAATGAATAGGAAAATTTGTAATATAATTCTTTTATTCCTAAATATAAAAGTTAGATAACTAATCTACATATATTAAAAAAAATTAGTTATGTGAATTATTATATTAAACGTATGTTAGTTTCCTTAAAATATTCCTTCAAACATTTGCATTAGAAACCGCCCTTATTGATAAAAATCTTCTTTAGTATATGCAATCAATAAAATTGTTTAAAAATAAATTATAAATTTATGAGACAGAATAGAGTGAAATTTTATATATAGAATCCAAACAAATCTCTCAACTAGCTCTCACATTTAGGACTAATTGAGTTAATTTTTATAAGAAGTCAATAGCTTATACATGGCACTACCTTTAGTCCTAAATACTCTCTTCAATCATTATTATAAGTTTCAAATAACTTCACAGATAACAAACAAGTAGTTCAAATTGGTTTAAAGCAATAAATACGTTAGAAATATAGTTTTGGTTCTAAATATGCTTTTATAATAAATAAGAAAAAGAATGAAATAGAATATATGGGAAAATTTGACAAGAGGGTATGACAAAGAAGAGAAAAAATAAATAATTAAGGGCAAAATTGATTTTTAAAAAAAAAGCATTAAATCTTTAGACAAACCCCAAATTAAACCTCATAAAATGTACCACACTCTCTCCAAATTTGAAGTTTATAAATAGAACGAGAAGGAATATAAGATTTGTACTACAAACTAGATCTTATATCTAAGACCAGAAGTAATAGTATAATTAGATATGGATATAAATGGCGTTGGGTTGCATATGTGTTAATTCTTTGACATGTTTATATTATTGATCATTATATCGGTGAGCTGGCACATGACTGGAATATTAATATTGGTTATGCTTAGATGTTGGCTAATGAAAGTCCTAATTTGGTTGGCTAAACAGGGGCACATTTTAAGAGGGTCATTTTTTCGTCTTTTACTTGTGGCCCTCAAGAGGTGGGATATGGTTAGATAAATGGGAAATTGAGGTTATCCGTTTTTTTCCTCTTCTTTTCCTTTTCTTCCCGCCCCCCCCCCCCCGGTTTTTTTTTTGGGGAGAAGATTCCTTTCAGTAATAATCCCAGTCTGGTAGATAAAAGAAGGCGCCTTTAATGAATGAAATTATGAAAGTAATGAATTATGCACTGTTTAAAACAATTTGGATAAAACTTAACTCCCAAACGTAATACTAAAAATATACAAGAATATAATATGGACAATGGAAAGAAAACCAAATAAAGTTCTGTTTTGTTCAGGATTTAAAGTATGTAAGTTACCTGCAAGTGAAGTTCTCAACATTAAAGACATAGCTTCTGAAACGATGGATAACTAGACAACGCTGCGAATTGCAAAGCCCCATGTGGACCAGAAATGGATAGAGCTGCAGATATTTAATACACACACACACACCATTAGAGATCTCTCCTCTGAATTTCTGTTAGTCTGTGTCTTGTCTTGAAATTGGAATGGAAGAGGGAAGAGCAAGAACATGTGTCACTGGTGGGACTGGCTTTATTGCTTGTTGGATTATCAAGAGACTTCTTGAGGATGGTTATTCTGTTAATGCCACTAGTACATCTTCCTCAGGTACATTTCACTCCTGTCCTTATATTTCAATCATATCAAATCACTCTAGTGTGGGATTTGTCTTGTAGTTCTTCATGCAAAACCTTATGTCTACTTTTTTTCAATATAAGTGTTTGATATCCATTACTATTGGTTGAAATTTGAGCATTGTTGGGCCAACTGGGTTGTATAGATTGTTGGAGGAAAATGGAGGGGAGGAGACATTTTAATAAGCTGGAATTAAAGAAAATGAGCAAATGGTGTTGAAAATTTTTTTTAATATAGAGAAGATGTAACTGGGATGGGGAAGCAAAATTTTTAAGTCGAATTCATCCAAATCTCCCCTTCCCCAACCAAAAAAGAGTTGGGGTCATTTTTTCATCAACAAGATTCAAACTTTCGATCTTACTTCAGGGAAATTGGGTTCCTTTCATCCAACCCAACCATCATTGACCGGCTACTTGTGCAAAATCTTTATGTCTGAGTGATACGAACCAAATGTCAGCTTTATGCAGGTTGATGATTTCCTTTTCCATTGGAGGAGACACGAAAGGTATGACCTTCCTCACAAACCTGCCAGGTGCATGTCAGAAACTTCAACTCCTGAAGGCACACTTAACTGAACCAGAAAGCTTCAAGGAAGCCATTAAAGGGTGTATTGGGGTATTCCAAGTGGCAAGTCCAATGGATTTTAAGGAAAAGGAAGAAGATGAAGAGATAGTGACCAAAACATCCATTAATGGAGCACTGGGAATTATGAAGGCATGCCTCACTTCAAACACTGTCAAGAGATTTGTTTATACCTCAAGTGGTTCTGCTGTTTCTTACAATGGCATTAAAGAAGATGATGATGAAATAGTGATGGGTGAGAGTTTCTGGGGGGATGTGGATTATCTCAGAACTTCAAAACCATTTGGATGGTCTTATGCCATTTCTAAGACATTGGCAGAGAAAGCTGTGCTTGAATTTGGAAAAGAAAATGGTTTAGATGTTGTCACCGTGATTACTCCTTTTGTTATTGGACCTTTCATTTGTCCTAAGCTTCCTGGCTCGGTTCGCTCACCACTCTATTTGCTATTTGGTATGTTCAACAAATTCTGCTTTGAATTTAATTATTGATATTTTTCTCACACCAATTTTTGTACAATTATATATATATGAGTTTAAATATTATCAAACTCCATTACCAATAATTTGACTAAGATGTTCTTCCCCTCAAAAGCCAAAATAATTATTTTGCATGTATTAAAGAAATTATTCAAGTTAATTATTTATAAGAAACATATACAAGTTTTTAAAAATACTCCTTTGGTCTTGCTTATTGAAAAATCGGACATGATAAAAACTCTTTTACTACGTGTACTAATTAAGATAATTTGAAAAATAAATTATAAATTTGATAGATAAAGTAAATTAGGATTTCACATTTAAAGATCAAAACAAACATTTTTATTAGTTTCTATATATATTCAGGATTAGAGGAGTAACTTTTTTTCGTTTTATAAGATTCGAACCCAATATTGCTTATTAAGAAGAAACCTAATTATCATTCCCCCCCCCCCCACCCCACCCCAAAGATCAATTTTTTGAATTCAGTCTTCTTTTTTGCTGTCTTTGTGCATGATAATTATGGTAAATCCAAGTGACGCAGGTGAGAGGGGCCCAGTTAAGTACGTGGAAACACCTATGATGCATGTGCACGTAATTGAATGCTGCAAGCAAAATTTAGGGTTAAGGTGTCAATCCTTATTTATACTTTCATCAAAATTTTTATTTAGGTCCATGTGGTTTTCCTCACCTTTCTCAACATCAGTCCTTCTGTGCTCATGGTCTACTAACTACGGCTGATATGGATGTTGCTAAGCAACACGTAAATTGTTATAAAATACACAATAAAAAGGGTTTTAAAAAATAAAATGATAGAATAGAATTTATCTATTTTTAATGTAAAAATAAAAATCAGGGTTAAAGTGTCACTACTAGAAAAAAAAACTTTTAACGTTGCCAAACAATGGCGGCTAATCAGAAAAACGACGTGGAAAAAAAAGCGGTAGCATTTTTGTAAATAAGTTGGTTAAGTTCTAGATTTTCCACAACGGTTATTAAGAAAACCGCCGTGGAAAGTATTTTTAACGACGGTTATTTAAAACATGCCCAATATGCGAAGAAGGTACCCATTAAATATACTTAATAATGTTTTATATTAACTTAATATTTATTATTCTTACATTTATTAATTCGTTGTTCTTTAAACAGAAAATGGACGAATTCGGTCAACAAGGTTCTGGCGATGACAGCTTTTTTACTAGCCAAAGAAAGGGTAGAGGGCCAACCCGTATGAGGCATTTGGCTTTACGTGATGAGATCACACAGCCTATGAGGATTAAAGTGGAGTTTGATAATGATTTGAAGCTTATAGGAAAGGCTGGGGCTCAATTTACTAGTTATGTGAGTTATGTTGCACGCAGTAAGATTAGCATTGACATTCTTAGCCGGAAGAAGGTGGACAAAGATTTGAAGCAAAACATTTGGGAGGATATATTGGTATATTATGAATTGTTTTCTCTATTTGTTTCAATTATAATTTCTTATTTATTTCATAACTCTATGCTATTATTGTATTGCAGCTGACATTTGATATTCCTGCCACTGAGCAAATGAGAGATCGTTTGTTTAAGCAACTTGATAAACGGTGGACGGATTTTAAATCCACGCTTACAAAACATTATATTCGTGGAAAAAGAAAGGGTGGGTATCCTAAAGAACGATATTCGTTTATTAGTGACGAGGCATGGAAGAGTTTTGTGAAGCAACGTGAAGACCCTGCATTTTAGGTTTGGTTTCTTCAAACTTAGTTTTTAATTAGGTCATATTTTATTTAACTAAACTAACTTTGTCGAATTTGTTTCATTGTCATCGGCATTGAGTCAGAAGAACAAACAAATATTTGAGCAGAATGTGTACCTACATACCATATCTCGTGCAGGGTATGGTAAGTTGGAAAGAAGTATGATGGAGGAACGGATGAAGAATGCATAGATGGCTGATGCTTCAGATCCTACTAGCTACATTTCACTCATTGAGCGTCCTTCTCGCTAAGAAAAATGGAAGGCGGCGAGGATTAAAAAGGGTCAATACATTACTCCACAATCTGCTGCTGTTGCTGAGAGGATTGTAAGTAATATTTAAGAATTATGCTTCATTAATTGCTTTTTTCAATTATCTTAAATTGAATTTGTTGCTTTAATGTTATAGGATATACTTGAGGAGCAATTATCCCAAGGTACATTCGTCCCTCAAGGATGGATGGATATCTTGGCCACTGCCATTGGAAAGGCTGATCATCCCAACAGAGTCAGGGGGACCCCTAAAGGGATTGGTATTAAAGAATTTTTTGGCTTTGCTTCACAAAGAAGCACGATCATCGTCCGCTAACATGGTATCTAAAGAGGAGCTCGACCAACGATTACAGGAAGAAACAGAGAGAGTTCGAGCTGAACTCAGTCAACAACACATGGCAGAAATGCAAAAGATACATGACGAATTTGATGCCAAGTTTCAACAAACTCTGATGATGATGGGCATGAGCGGATTCCAGATGCCCTAAGTATCTAAACTTTCCTAGGTAATAATCACATATCTTTTCAAATTATTTGATCCATTTAAACTTATTTAATGTACCTTAACTAATTTCATATTATGTTTCCGGGTTCACTTGTGATAAAAAGCAGGAAGGGCAGTAATAATTAGACATAGCAACTGACAGTATCTGACCCTGACCCTAGCCTTGACCCTGTCGAAGACAATAGGATGCCGTGTACTCTCTATGTGGATTATGAAAATTCACATGTTCATGTCACTAGTGATCGAGCATTCATGGGCACAACGATTCACGGCAACAAAATTCAGAGCAATCAAGCAAGGGTGACAGTGGAAAGGATTGTTCGTGGTTATTGCGGTACATCAGTGCCCAATTCTACTAATGAGGTTTGACTCTTGGCCTAAGCTAAAGGGCATTTCATTTTGTGGCCAAAGAGACTTATTGCAAAGCTAATGGTGAAGAAGGTAGCAATGAAGAAAGCCACAACGAGCGCATCATCAGATCTTGTACTCCTGCCTCTTCCTGGTGATGTTGCGCTTATGTATTCCAGTTTGGAGGTTCTTCATTCTGTATTGCCAAACATGGATAAGCTTATTACTTTCAAGATGCCGTTGGGGATTGTGGGTTTAGATATAACATACGACTTCACCATTGACAAGAGGGACCTCGTTCAGTTCCTCAACTTTGAGGAGCTTGATATAGTCTTCATGCAGCTCACTATTTTGTAAGTTACAATATCATTTTCTTATTTCATGTTATACTTTATGTATGTTCTAATATTTCTTATTTGAACAACAGGCACTTTACTCAAATATGTCGAAACAGAGGATTTGAAGAAACATATGGTTTTATGTATCCTCAAAGGGTGCAGAAAGAGCTTAATACTATGAAAGCGAGGTCAATCTACATGATGACCACAATGACTCAGACCAGAAAGCCAATGTATTTTGTACCTTACATGGAAGAGTAAGTGTATTATTGTATTTGAGATACACAAGTTGCATGTGTAGGATTATAATTAACATGGTTTGTCTTTTGCAGTTATCATTGGACTCTAATTGTTTGTGCCCCTTTTGATAACAAAGTTTATTGGTTTGATTCACTCTATGGAAGTCTATCCGAAAAAACCAAAGATGTCATCGACACGTTAGTTTATATTTATATATTTATTACGTGTGAAGTTTATAAAAGCATGTTCTAATGTCATTTTCTTTCATACTGTTGATAGGGCTTTTGGTTTCAATGTTATGGCAATTAAACAAAATAGACAATTACCAATATGGATTCTTTCAAAGGTATGTTGTTTTGAACTAACTTTTAAACTTTTTTAGATGAGTTAAAGTTAATGTCTATAATCAACAATGTCTAATATTCAATTTTATATTTCATTTTGTTATTACCATTGTCAACAAGGACATGTTGAATGTAGATATTATGTTATCTGCTACATGAATGACATCATTCAGATAGGAGTAACTGAGAAATTAGACGAGGTAAAAATAAGTTACGTTGCATGACATTCTTTAATTCATTTCATATTTTTAATTAAGTTTACTGTGTTATTTTTTATTAACATGTATTTTAAAATATTGCGTCATATCCCATGGATAACATCAACTTGATGAGGAACACTTTGTCAACAATATTGGTGCAAAATATTGAAAAAATAGTTAGGTCATTCTCCAAAAAATTCGTTGTTAGACTCTTGGTTCCCTCTTATACATGTTTATGATTTCTATTGTACAGACAGAAGTAGTTACTTTTCTTTCAAGATTGCTAGTTCTCTTGGTTCCTATACGTGTTCTTTGGTCTTAGGTTCCCCTTAGTTCTATTGGTTTCTCTTAGTTTATTGGTTTCTGTGTAAAAAATTTCAATGCTTGTTGTATATATTAACTAACTAATTGATTTCTTGTTTATATGGTCTTGTTCTGCGTATTCTGTGCTGCCTACATTTTATTTGGAATTGTAAACTGCATAATGGTAAAAATGAAAATCGAGCAGAATTTTTTTAAAAAAAAAATTTTAACGGCGGTTATTCATATAACCACCGTTAAAATAATTTTCCACTGCGGTTATGTAAAAAACCGTGTGGAAAGTAAACTTTCAACGGCGGTGTCTTATGTAACCGCCGTGGAATTTTAATTTTCCACGATGGTTTTTTACGTAACCGTCGTGTTTTGTTTACCTTTCAAAGTCGACTGTATCAACTTCACCTTTAAAACAGCCATGAAAAACCACTATTAATCACCGTTAAAAGCCTTTTTTCTAGTAGTACCTGTTAAGAGTAAGACTCAGTCTGATTTCACCTTTCTTGTTTCGGCCATAAAGACATGCCGTGAAAGTTTCAACGTGGAATTTTATTTTAGCATCAATGCAACTGAATCTTATGTGCCTCTCAATTAGAAGAAAATAAATTCCATGATGTGCAGATATTTTTGTGAATAGTTTATATTTTCTTATTTTAATTAACTTTCAATTATTGTCGGTCCAAATTAAGGATAAGCCTTTTAAAAACATA